TTCTAGCTCTTCTAGCTCTTCTAGCTAAGCTAGAACACTTTGAATCCACGGCAGCTGTGCAGGCCTGGAGGTGCATTTACGAGCCGTTCTAGCTGTTCTAGCTCTTCTAGCTTTTCTAGGTCTTCTAGCTCAGCTAGAAGAGCTAGAAGAGCTAGAAGAGCTAGAAGCTGCAATCTTCTAGCTCTTCTAGCCCTTCTAGCTCTTCTAGCTAAGCTAGAACACTTTGAATCCACGGCAGCTGTGCAGGCCTGGAAGTGCATTTGCTAGCTGTTCTAGCTCTTTTAGCTCTTCTAGCTCTTCTAGCTCTTCTGGCTTAGCTAGAAGAGCCAGAAGAGCTGGAAGATTGCAGTTCCTAGCTGTTCTAGCTTTTCTAGGTCTTCCCTTGAAAACCCGGTAGCCGGAAATAACAGGCGACTGACGAAAGGCGCCTGTTTTATAATTACGTTAAACCTAGTGCCGGTTTTGTGTTCGGGATTTCGAGTCTAAAAAGCAAGATTGTGGAGGCTTACAAGTTGGAATCCCTCAAACCTTACTCAAACCCGATCGGGCCCCTCACTTTTTTCAGCGGCCGTGAACCTGCATCCACATGTTTGTAAGGTACCGCGAGAGAGTCTGACGATGCATTTTTCTGGAGCTAACCTTCGTTGTGGTAGATGAAACTCGTCCAATAAAGTCCTCGTCCATTTGGGTGGACTCGGACAGCGGTGATAGCGTCCATCGCCTGTCAGCATTGTACCCAGTAATCAAGTTGTCCACGATGTGGATAAGACCATGGTATTTCGGCGTGAGCTTAAACCGGGTCTTCTGTTGATCAAACGCCCGACTTGACGTTTCGATGTAGGCTTTTAAAAAGGCAGCCCCAGCCTCAGCAGCAGTTCTGCATCGCTCTTGTGAAAGCCAAAGGCCAGACCGATACAACGTCCTCATAAAAATATTCGCGGCCCGCAAGCATTCAAGAAACCCACGCAAGTACTCGTCCGATTCGTTTGCATGCGCCGCGATGTGCTCCGCCCAGAAAGCTTCAAGAAAAGAACACATGGCCGAGGTATCGGCCCCTTTGAACCAGTTCCTTATTTGCCATATAACCATGTACACAAAAAGCCTGACTTAGAAAACCAAAAAAAAGGCTATTTCCTATAACCGAAATCGTGCTCAAAAGAAGAAAGGCACCCAACCGGATAATCGTAGTCCGCGCTGAAGGACAAGAGATGCCGAGTCAGCCCATCCATATGCAATGCTGTGTTTGTTGCCTTGCAGTGCCGAACAGCTAAAGCGTAGATGGCATCAAGCTGCTGCGGGATGTCGCCGCTGCCCACCAAACTGTAGTCGGTGATAACAACCTTCGAGTTGAATATTGGATAAGAAAAGTTGGGTTACCAAATTATATCATAAGTATGTTACTAAAACAAATAAACCATAAGAGCAACACATATGTTAAAACTGAAGCTACGTCGCTAGAGCACTGCCAGCAAGCTCGGCGAAAACGCCCTTGTGCACCGTATGAAAGAGATCAAACTTATGAATAAACTCCTTCGCCGGCGACTGCGGCACCCGACACAACGGCCCTTCTGAATCCCAGGGAATGCATTTCAAGTATGTGGCTCGCCACGAAGCAGATGATCCATAATCGTTTGCATCGTAGCCCTGCTCCCCAGCTCGGCACAGATGGCAAAATCCGCTCTTAGCAGAAACCTGAAACACGCCTTTGCGGGCGAAGTGTCGTGACAAGTTGCCGATGCGAGCTTGTATCGGCCAATCGCCTTTAAGCCCCAACAAAGCTGCGTAGAAGGCAACTTTCTTGCCCCTAAGATTCAGTGTTACACCATTCCAGAATAAATCCAAAAGCTCGTCAGCTAATCTTTCCATAATGCCCGTGAAGAACTCGGATTTTCCTTTGCTGTAGCACTTCTTATGGCAGACCGTGTAGAGGAAACGAGTGGCATAGGAGTTTCCAAGGTAGTTTAAGGACATAGCTTCAGGGCAATCATCCGTTGTAGAAAGCCCAAAACCAATCGGCGACTGCCAATTCACTACCATCACACCAGTCTTCTTAAGGGTTTGCCCTTCATCTGCATGAAGTTGCAGTGGCAGCACATAAGCCAAGTGATCCCGATGGTGCTGGAATACTGCGTGCTGCGGGTCGTGCTGCCTCCAGCGTCGCCAGAATTTCGGTAGCACTTCAGTGTTTTGATGAGTTGTCGTCGTAGACGTAGCACCCCAAAGCAAACACAACTTGTTGCACGAAGCCAAAGCTTGCAACAAATCAGCAACCTTCAGAACAGGATGTGTTTGGCCTGGACCCACATCCACCGTTTCGATCTGTATGGGACAGGATAAGCCATGCTTTTCGAAGGTCTTTGATGATTTATTTTCGTGCTTCGTCGTTGATTGCCGGTGCAACTCCTGTAACAACCCAGCACTTCGAAGATCCTCTGCTAAGTCAGGGTCAGCCTCCCGAACTTCCTCAACGAAGCCAGCCGCAATGCCACACAGCAATCGATCGGAAACCTTCAGGGTTTTTTGGGCTTGCCAGGATACTTAGATGGGTGTTTGAGGAGGATGTCGGGTCCATTAATAAGGTTTATAGGAGATATAATAAAACCTCTATATATATATATATACATTATATTATATATTATATATACATATCCATATATAGGGTTTCATCCTAGGGGTCATCTATGTAAACCATCGATCGGCATTTAGATAAAGATTTGTGTAGGATAAGTTTGGGGTTTCCTATTAAGCACGAACCCACTACTCCAAGAGATCATTTCGAAACCCATACCCCGGCTCCACGAGCCCGTGCCAAGGCGGCAGATGCAGATCCTGGCTCCGGCGGCGCACGGCGCTTGCTGGCAGCACCTGCGTGGCTTCAGGGTTCAGGGTTGATTCTGATGTGTTTAAGGAGACGACATGGGATTGTGCATAATCGGTCTTTTTAGCCTCCTTTGCTGGATCGACCCCGGAGTTGCATCGGAATTGGAATCGCAGCTATGCAACCACATCAGAATAAAAGTGGATGTGGCAAAGTATAGCTTGCCCCAAATGCGGATCTTTCAACCCGCCCCACGAAACCCTAGGCATGCCTATATAGGAGCCCAGTGTGTACCCATAGAGGACTAGAGTGCTTTATAGAGCCACCGCATGTGGTCTAGGGCAAACCTACTTCTTCACAGCAGCTTTGGCTTTTGCCTTCGCTTTACCCTTAGCCTTGGCCTTAGGCCGAGGCTCCTTTGCCTCATCATCTTCCTCACTTCCCTCGGCCCCATTGTCCTTCTCAGCACCCTTTTTCTTTGGCTTGCTCCGGTCGAGAATCATCCTTGGGGATCGAAGGATAGGAGTTGTTTGTTTAAGGGGGTTTAGGGTCTAGGG